GTGTGTGTGTGTGTGTATGTGTGTGTATGTGTGTATGTGTACTATGTACTGTGTACTGTGTATGTAATGATCACCTTGTGTGGTGTGTGTGTGTGTTTGTATACTGTGTAAGTTATGATCACCTCGCGTATGTGTGTATGTGTATGTGTGTGTGTTTATGTGTGTGTGTGTGTATGTGTGCATATGTATGCAGTGTTTACTGTGTACTTTGTATATAACCTCGTGTATGTGTGTGTGTGTGTGTGTGTCCACAGAACGTGTCGTGTGTCGTGGGATTCTCCACCTTCTTCTCGCCCTGGCCGCTGGTGGGTCAGATGGTGAGCGGCGAGCGGAGGCGGGTAGTGGACAGTCTCAAGAAGGACTGCCGTGAGTTCCTGTTCATGAACCTTCACTACGAGCACCTGCGCTCACCCACGCCAGATGTGGATTATCTGCCCCTGACTGTGGAGCTCTACGACCCGGCGGTCAGCGATGAGGTGAGTAGGTCAAAGGTTGGAGTAGAAGAACTTTTAGATAGGACAACGACTGAATTGGAAGAACATATAGATATTGGACAAAGACTTGAGTAGAATAGAAGAATATATAGGTAGGTCAAAGACTAGAGTGGAAGAACATATAATAGGACTTACAATAGATTGGAAGAACATAATATAGATAGGGCAAAGAGTAAAGTGGAAGAATATATAGATTGGACAAAGACTAGAGTAGAAGAACTTAAAGGTAATTCAAAGACTTTAGCGGAAGAACATATAGATAGGACTAGGAGTAGAGTGTAAGAACATACAGATAGGACAAATAAGACTTGATTAGAAGTAGAAGAACATATAGATAGAACACAGACTAGAGTTGAAGAATGTATAGATAGGACAAAGACTTGAGTAGAAGTAGAAGAACATATAGATAGGACAAAGAGTAAAGTGGAAGAACTTATAGATAGGACAAAGACACGACTGTAAGAACATATTATATATATATAGGACATAGACCAGATTGGAGGAACATATAGATTGGACTATAAGTAAAGTGGAAGAACATATAGATAGGACAAAGACTAGAGTTGAAGAACATATAAAGAGGACAAAGATTAGAGTAAAAGGACATATAGATAGGACACAGACTAGAGTGGAAAAATAATATGTAGGACAAACTCAGGACTCTGCTGGAGCAGCCGAAATGTCTTTCTGTTTTGTTTTGTCAAAGGATGGATGAAACACATAACGTATTTCTCCTATTTGGGAACATGTCAGCCAATGTCAGAGTTGTGCTGCGCGGGTCTAGTCTAGACTCAGTACATGTATTTAACAAGCAGGGAGAAAGGCAACCTGTTATGTTCTTGTAATGTTTTACTGTTTCTTGTTATGTGTTGTTCTGTCGTATTATGTTTTGTTCTTTTTCTTGTTATGTTTTGTCGATGTGAACGAAAGTGGTGTCTTTTGGAGTTGCAAAGATTTTTTTGTGTGGGTCCCTGTGCGGGTGGTCTTTACGAAGATTTGTGAGGGTCCCTGTGTGGGTGGTCTGTACAAAGACTTGTGAGGATCCCTGTGTGAGTAGTCTGTACAAAGATATTTTGTGAGGGTCCCTGTGAGGATCCCTGTGTGGGTGGTCTGTACAAAGATTTGTGAGGGTCCCAGTGTGAGTAGTCTGTACAACGATTTGTGAGGGTCCGTGTGTGGGTAGTCTGTACAAAGATGTGTGAGGGTCCCTGTGTGGGTAGTCTGTACAAAGATTTGTGAGGGTCCCAGTGTGAGTAGTCTGTACAACGATTTGTGAGGGTCCGTGTGTGGGTAGTCTGTACAAAGATTTGTGAGGGTCCCTGTGTTAGTAGTCTGTACACAGATTTGTGAGGGTCCCTGTGTTGGTAGTCTGTACACAGATTTGTGAGGGTCCCTGTGTTGGTAGTCTGTACACAGATTTGTGAGGGTCCCTGTGTGAGTAGTCTGTGCAAAGATTTGTGAGGGTCCCTGTGTTGGTAGTCAGTAGGTCAGAGCATGTTTTACCACTAGGCCGGGACAAGCTCGTCGGAAAAATCTGGGCCACTCTCCATCAAGTGTGTCGTTGTTGACGGCGAGCGTCTCACTCCAGCTGGCTGTGGGATTATTGTGCTTGCCGCTGACAAAAACAAATTATGTCGTGTGATTCTGTGCTTAAGATCGGAGCAAGTTATGGTATCTGGGTGCAGAAATAGCCCATCTACGTGCAGTACTGTAGCATGTAGAACGTTTGTGTTCTGACAGGTCTTTTAGTTTTAGTATTGGTAGAGGTTTTACGGCGCTCGCAACTGCAAAAGGTCATATGAGCGCCGAAGGGTGGATGTCAACAGAGAAGCCCTTACAGGGAATCAGGTTTACTCTGCTCACCTCTCTAGCATCGACAGCGCAAAGTCTGCTTCGACTATCAATTCACCCCGGAAATAGCGGGTCACAAGTGTGTGACAAACATACAAAAGAAGTAGAGGAAAATGGCGATAGTAAGGATTCAGAAAGAAAAAGCAGCAGCTCCCTGTTGCAGTTCAAGCACAGTTATGAGCATGACATTGATGAATCAGCCCATTTACAATTACAATTCTACTGTGCATAAGAACATGGTTAGTGTCCCCCCTTTGGGCATGGCTTAAAGGCACTTCAGTCAGTAGCACCGCCCCAGGGGGCCATGACAAGGCTTTGAGATGTCAGAAGTAGCCGAGCGGATCTCGTGATCCTTTGAACGGGTGTCATCTCCATGACTGGACCCGCTCTGGACAATCACTGACGAGGAGAATGCACAATCACCCTAATATATTTGGCAGCTTGGAAACACATTTGTCACTTTTCCCATAAAACTACGACAGCTACAGAGTTTAAAGTTGGCAAGTACCTGCAAAAAGATAGATACGTCCCCATGACGGAGCCCGATTTTGTATTTCCTCATTTTCTGAATTTAGAAAAATAGATTTGACGGAAAGTTCCCGTCCTTCTTTGGCCTCTGTGATTATTCTACTGAGAAACGAAACAAATCTGCCTTCACAGCGGAAGTGCCGGAGGTGATATTTCGCGAGGCTCATTTTGTTTTGAGAGTATAGATCTAGATTCTAGACCTTCTATTTTTTTTTCATTTCTCAAGATTTATTGCTCCATTACAGTAGAGTGTAAATATAGTAGGCCAATGACTTTCGGTTGATGTTATTGCACCGATCATTCCTTTCATCAAAAAGGGGCCCAGCTAGTTATAATATATTTAGACGCTAGAAAAACAAACTAAGGATGTATAATATTCATGGGTTCATAGTCTATTTTTCTACCTTACAAGGAGTTGTTTTAGCGTTGCACTTCAGGTGAAAGAAATCCTTATATTTCACACGTGGAATACAAGCTGTACGGCAATCAAAATGTATGTACATTACTCCTCGCACTATATTCGCCCTCTAACCTTCTATAAGCAAAGTATAGACTTGAATTATATATAATATTCCTAGACCGTGCAATGTTAAAGCAGCGGCCGCCTCTTTGCCCTCTTTAAAAATTTCACTACGAAGCTCGCTCATCATAGGCACTCAAACGAAATGCCAAACGTTTCCCATTCTCGCGATAGTGATAGGTGAGTGTACCTTGAACCTTTCTATGTTGCCCACAAACCGAGCCAAATGGTGCGCACTATAGTAAACAGGGATTACGTCAGAGTGCGGCGATGTACTATAGTACAATGCTCTTGTCTATGTAACAAACGACTCCTGGCCTATAATAGTGCGGTCAAAAATTCGTGATGCAATTTATCCTCTTCTCTTTAACGGGTAAATCAATGTCATGCACACTTTGCATGGAAGTTTGTATCTATTTGTCTTAACTAATCGTATTTTTCTAGAACAGTTGGGGCTCGATTAAAAAATATTTCTTCATAAATGTATATAAAATACTTGAAATCTCTATCACGCGTAAAATGGTATTGTTCACAGTACTTCCCGCTCCTCACACACACTTTGATTACGCATAGGCCTATATGGCCTACGTCGCAGCTCATCAAAGATTATTTTTACTTGCAAAGCTTGTTACGAGATATTATTGTTATAGTGAACACGTTTTCGAACTAATGGCTCTCAAAACATGCGTTCAATAAGCATAATGTCCCAATTAGAAAAACCTGACGGATTTGTCATTAAAAGCTATATTGCCCCAGTTGTAAACATTAAACAATCTGTCGAAACCACCCACTTGGATTTTTTATCAGTATTTATTAAGGAATTTTCTAGAAAACAGCTTGCAGGTGTTTACAAAAATATTGATCTGGACAAACTGATACAAGTCACTGCAAAATTGGAGAAGCTATGTTCAATAGTTGGGGACATATTTGAAAATAAGTCGCACCACGAATTTTTGACCGCACGAAAGATGAGTGGATCGCGGACATCCCTAGATGGAAGTGGTTAATGAGGACATTACTGGCTGGGAGTAGATGAGAGAGGGAGGGCATTGCTGGAGGACAGTAATGGCTGGGAGTAGTTGATACATGTATAAGACATTACTGGCTTGGAGTAGTTGAAAGAGGACATTACTGGCTGGGAGTAGATGATAGAGGACATTACTTGAGGACATTACTGGTTGGGAGTAGATGAAGCGATGGAGGACAATTTCAAACGTTTTTGCGTTTGACTTGACTGTATTGCCATTTCAAGAGTGATTTTTTTCCTCTTGCTGAAATCGTTGATAGTTTGCGGGTTACCCGGGGGTAGGGATTTGTAAAAACATGTGTAATGTGTAACAAACGTGTGTACCGGTATTTGTGAGAACATTAGTACCTGTGTTATGTTAGAAGTTATGTACCGGTATTTGTAAGAACGTGTGTACCGGTATATTATTATGTGTAAGGTGTGTACGGTACTGCTATGTTTAAGATGTGTACCGGTGTATGTAAGAACATGTGTACCGGTGTGTGTAAAGAGGTGTGTACTGGTATGTGTAAAGTGTGTACAGCTGTATTTAAGAACGCTTGTACCGGTGTGTGTAAGTTTCTGTATGTGCAAGGTATGTACCAGTATGTGTAAGGTGTGTACTGGTATTTGTAAGAACGTATGTACCTGTATGTGTAAGAAGTTGTTGACCGGTATGTGTAAGATCAATGTTTACCGGTGTGTGTAAGGTGTGTGTAAGGTGTGTGTAAGGTGTGTGTAAGGTGTGTGTAAGGTGTGTGTCGGCATATTATGTAAGAATGTATGTACCTGTGTGTGAACATGTGCACTGCTATTTTTAAGAACGTGCGTACCGGAATATTATGTGTAAGGTGTGTACTGGTACTTGTTATGTAAGAACGCATGTACCCGGTGTGAGCACGTGCGTCCAGTGACGAGTTCTGTGTAAGAAGGTGTGTACCGGTATATTATAAGAACGCATGTACAGGTGTGTGCATGTGCGTCCAGTGACGAGCTCTCCTCCCCCGTCTCGTCCCCAGGTGGTGTCTGAGCGGTTCTACCTGCCGGTGCACATCAAGGGGGCGTTCCCCAACTCTCCGCCTCACGCCTCCTTCATCAACATGTACATGATGGACGTGGATCAGTTCGTCCTCTCCACCATCATACCAGGGGTCATCTCTGCCGAGGACTACGAGACTCCCAAGAGAGACCTGGTCTTCAACATCTCCAAACCTTTTGGGGAGGGCAAAGGTCATTTGGTGCATCTGGACAACCACGCCCAGCCGATATCCTCCTTCTTACAGGTTCGAGTAGCTTTCTGTATTCGATTGTTCGAGCAGCTTTCTGTATTCGATTGCTCGAGTAGCTTTCTGTATTCGATTGTTCGAGTAGATAACTTTATTCGTTTGTCCGACTAGATTTCTTTCTTTGTTTGTACATTAAGTTCTTTTATTGGAAAAAGATTTATTTCTTCGTTTGTTCAAGTGACAAGTTTCCAAAAACATCTTATATATCATCACATCTGCTAAAGAATAGACCATACGGTAGATATTACTTCTTTTCTCTCTCTCTGTTATATTTCTCTCTTACTTTTCTATCCTTCTGTTATTTAGTTAGTCTTTGTTTTCTCTTTCTCTCTCACTCTCTCCTTCTCTCTCTCTCTCTCTCTCT